TACATACATATATATATATTAAAATACGATTATATTTTCTATCTATTCTATGTTTATACATAGTCACATTACTTGAAATTGTGAAGTAGAGCTAATTTGGTTTCACCATATCGAGTATACACACGCATATCTCATCTTGAGTATGTGACAGAGATTATGCTTATTATATGTAAGACTTGAATAAATGAGTGTATTTAGAAATGACAACTGTTTGTTATGCGAGTGAATATAGTTTTAATTTAAACAAATAGGTGGTGTGAAAAATGTGCATTTAATTTCGACACCTACAGCTAAATTCACAGAAAATTGAGAATTAATTCGCTATGCATAAACCATACGCCACACAGTATTACACCAATAGGCAACTATACTATACACATGTGGACCTCTTCTATATTGCGGTTGTTTGTTGTTGCTAATAAAGATCTGAAGTTGAAAAAACGGGCACATTCATTTGTAGTATTGAAAGCAACATGATCTAAGTGGGCATAGTTGCCAAAAAATCACAGTGGGATCTACACATCGATATATACTTGGATACAAAAACATATATTTGCATGTGCAGATCTATGTACATTCATATATCAACTCGTACCTGCAATATACGTGTTTGGTTATACACTTGTTAACACGAGAATATATTGTTGTCTGTGATCATACCCCGTTTTTGGTGACATACTCGAAAGTACAAACTTAACGTTGCCCAGAAAACCATTACCATTGTATAAAAATAGATAGTTTCGGATATCTACATATACACCTGTATAGACAGATACAATAAGCAGTTGTATATTCGATATACAAACAATCAATGCACGCAAACACTGTGCAGTTGAAGTCTCACATGTCACAACACGAAACGAATCCTATATTCAGGAGTCTTTTGAAACACAACACATCTGTTGCACATACACAGGATCTTATCATACTGACACGGACTCGAAATAAATTGGAATCTACACAGCAAAGCACATACTCAATTGGGCAAATATAAAATACTGGTACATTGACAACATTTTCCTGCAATCCGGAAAGCTCTGTGCCTTTTGAATGCAGATCTCCCTTTCTTTCGCCTTCCTGATGAACTCCGATGATGAAAACAATCACGAATTAAATGTCATCCGTGCGCATCCGATGTTTCTGGCAGGTTATGTTCTAACAGCACTGGGTTGTCGGGAATCCGTGCGATGTTACCATGGTAACCACTAAAACGACAATAGTAAGTATTCAACGAACCGTCCGAACCGGACAGACACTGTTCCCCACACAACTCTCTGAGGCAAGACTCACAGAGTGTGACAGTTCCGACCTCCCAGTCGTTGCTACTGAGTGGGAGCTTCGCACAGTCAATCAGAGCCTCATCGCCCATGGGGTACCCACAATTGTGACCCGTACATGTGACCTCTTCGTCACCAATGGGAACCATGCGACGGAAATTGACCGGCCGGCCGGTATATTTTTATGCCCCAGATATCTCAAGCTAGTTTAATCGCGTGCATATGGCTGATTAGCAAAGTGTATCTCCCTTTGCTTTCAGTCGTGCTGCTGAAAGAAAAGCTCCCCATAATCAATCAAAATCTCGTCTCCGGCGGAGATGTCTTCAATCGTAACCCCCACAATCCTGGGCCATCCCCTGAACATCACTTGCACGAAATGTGTGTTCTGAAGCCTGTCCTTGCTGAGCACATCAGACGCCTTTCGCTTCGATCGCTGGTCAGTCAGGCTGGCGGTCTCATGGGCCATACTCGCAGCACTATTCAGCCTAGGCTCAATACCAACCGTTTCTGAAGCGTGTGTATTCTGTGATAAACCGTCGTCGCACCGTGGTCTCGCACCACACCCGGCGGCTCCGCTCTCGGGTTTACACTTCTGTTGACTTCGGCTGCAACCTACACAGCTCACTGCGAGACATTGTCGGTCACGCGGCAAATCTGAGTGAGAATTGTTAACAATTGTGTGTTCTTCGGCGTCTCCATTGGTACAGATAGACCTGTGAGATGCTCTATTACATGCGACATCATCTGGGTCTGCCGTTGTACCAGACCCCGTATGTGTAGCTGTACTTGTATCCTTAGCCTTGTTTAGTGTACCTCTGTAGTCGTTCGCAAAACCCAGTGCATTGCGATAGTTTGACCCGTCAACTACGAGCTCCTCATTGTCATTGCACATACAGTACGAGTCATCAGTGGGGCTTTTCGGACACACATGTATCTCTATAGAATAGTCTTTTGGGATTACTTTGTTTATATATCCTACAGAATCGACACTTGGTATACATTTCCCAGCAACTCCGATAGAATGGTCTTTGGGTACGTTTTCGTTTGTATTCTCAGCCGTACGTACCTCCGAGCCCTCGCTACCATCAGAATCCTCTGCCAGTTCGCTTTCAATCATATCCAGTCGCACCACTTCTCCGCAGTACTCGCCAATCAACGTATCTTTAGGCACAAAGGCCTCTGCGAACAAACCGAAGCCCCCGCCAAGTTCAGCCATTGGCGCGTGTTCTGATTTAGATACCCCCCTCACTGTTCCCCCGTCGCAAGTTGACCTTCTGCTTCTAGCTCTCCGACTGGGCCTATACGCAGGATTGGTTGGGTCCTCAATCCGTCGCACTTGTAGGGCTGGCGATGTTTGGAGTGGCTGTACAAGGCGTGTCAGTGCTGGGCACAGTGTATGGCTGAGATTCGAGATGATATCGGGACACCCTCCCATACGCGCGGCGCGGTTGCGGTATAGGTAGAAGGCTTGTACGTCGTCTGCGATGATTTGTTGCGAACACCTACCGATACAGAATAACGTTAATGAGAATGAGAATATTGGGTGGAATTTTCACACGCAATTCCCAGACATGATATGGCTAAACACGCATACGCATGCGTGTATAACTGAAATTGCACGAATATTTGTATTTACAATATCGGAAAAACATATACTATGAAGTACAAACTCTTGTATGAAGATTCACGTGTGCGCTAGAATATATCCATACATGATCTTAAATTGTTCTTGCTTGTTGTTCTGTTGACGATTGCTATACGCGTACATACTCACATTTACGCATAATAATAGTCATGGTTGTGTTTATAAGTATTTTATGCACTTAAAAGATTCGAATTGAACCCACGTATACATACAACGTACATGTTGGAACTGGCATAAAAAAGTTTGATGAAGATTCTTGACTATGTAGATTTATAGTCAAAACGGTATACACGTGATACCTATGATTTGCAAGTGTGAGAGACTATCCTAATACGTCAGCCGTATACGAGTATTTTTTTATCCTGCATGCATTTTAGTTTGCAACGAAGAAGGTAGACCAAAGCATCACTTAAAAACAAACGAACAGTAGTCCAGGATACAACTTACATCGATAAAATACAAATCTCCAGATACTACACTTCCGCATGTATCACAGTTCATCAACTATCTACATACTCTATTGGCAAGCCATTGACGATATCACCATAAGGTCCCGCGTGCGCTACAGACGACTCCAGTTCCAGCGAATGCGAATTTGTCGACAACTGTTTATTCTTTGCTGAAAGCGGAACGATACCTCGCGACTGTCGGTCACCCTGGGGATTCATTAGGAAGCTGTAGCCATGGTTACACGTTAAAAAGGGTGGGGCCTGGAAAGGTACTGGCGCAGCGCTTTTGGATTCAGAATCGGATTCGACATTAGCATCCGTCCACTCTCGCGCTAATCTCTCGAGTTCAGCCCATTTTTCCAAGTTTTGATCGATGCTGTGTGGCGAATAATTGGACACATGAAATATTGAATACAACTTAAAGTGATGCAAGGGATATCACATGACTCGTTCATAAATGAAGCAGAAATTGGCGTATATGCGGCCACATACACACAGGGGCCTGACATTGGTGCGGTTCCAATAAACAGCCATATATATACGTAAAAGAGTCACAACAGTTAAGCTCAGCATAAAACTTTGTTCACATACGCCTCTGTATCTCTGCAGTCCGCAGGCGAGCGTCTCCACCCGTCCAGCGTGAAAGGAAGCTTCATATCAATTTGCAAGTATGTAGCCAAGTCCAGATCTCTCCGGAAATAAGCCATGTGCAGCAACGTACAGCCACTGAAGTCGGGCGTATTCAGCAATTGTCTGTACTTCTCCTCGCCCACAAACAGGGTTTTCAGTTGCTTCTACACAGGTTAGAATAGATAAGTCAATTTTTAGACCCCTTATTCTGAATGGAGTTTGGAGTATTCTTTTGGTAATATTGGTTTTCCAAGGAAGCTCAGCATAATGTATTTAGCTATGACGAGAGTACCATCACAACACTCATATTTATAAATATATACATATATATACACAACAACAGATACATACTACACACACACCACCACACACACACACACACATATATATATATATATATATATACACACACACACACACACATGTATATATATATATATAAATATTATATATATGTATATATAAGCAATTTAATATCTACAAAAAATTATTTTAGAAGCAAATGAGCCTATGCGAAGAGAACTTGCTTGTCATGATACATGGATAGCCGCACGCCTCCTTGGTTTGTGTAATGCAACGTCGTTTTTCTCAGACACAGTCATTGAGGCGAGGTGTCATATATACTGCCCCGGAAACTTGTCACATATACGTAAAAAGCAAGACGTCTATAAAATATATATTGAGCTGCAATCACATCACACAATAACGGGAAAAATCATTCCCTGTGACCAACACACCAACACAATCCAAGTATAAATACAATTTTTTTGGGCAGCAAATATCTCCTCACATGACAACAACGTTATATGTATCCACATACCATCGCGTGCACCTTCGACCGCCAGCCACCTATATGGACTGGCGTGCGTCCAGCGTAGTCCGGCACAAACAGCGCCTCCACGGTGCCACAGTGGTCCACTAGTAAGCTCACATTTTGCAGACACGTGCCACACGCGCTTGGGACAATGTCATAAGCTTGTGATACTTTCGCCTGCGCTTCTGTAGCATTATCGGACAAGTATGAGGTATTGTCATACGCATTGGTAGTAGTGTCACAAGGTGGCGTCACACCATGCCGTGCATTGTCACACGGTGTTGTCATATTGTCGTATGCTTTGGTGACAGTGTCCGTGGCGGTCGATCTTGGGTTGGCCCCGGGGTGGCCCAAGACGTAGTGGAGGGGTGTTTGCCCTTGGGAATCTCGCGGTAGTTCGATGGCTATAGCTTTACGTTCGTCTGATGGTTTATCTGTGGACTTGGCAAGGAAAGACGATACTTTACTTGAGAGTGATTTTGTACTGGGTTCGACTAGCAATGACAGTGGGTCGAATGACTATGGCAGTGGGACGACTCCTAACGCTCGTGGGTTGGGTTACTGCTGGCCATTATAGTATCGAAAACCAACATCCAAACTATGCGAAATCTTGACTCAAGTATTCGTAGCGGATCACCAAACATGAGACCCTCGAGAAAGGCCCTCGAGTATCCCTACGGGACACAACGTCCAACTGACGGTATACAGACCAAATCAGATACACGATGCATACCCAGATTCTGATGGCTTTGAAATCACAATTACATACAATTTATACGTATCCTATCAAGATACGCATTAAGATGAACACGGTTATATACATGTATATAAATATATGTATATCATGCACATAACAACCAGATGAAGTACACACCGAGTAGTCTCAGGGCTAACTTCAGCGCCACCGGATCACATGCACTGGCAGCATAGTGTACGATGCCCCTGCCCTTGTCATCAATCAGTGTGTGTGCCTGCTCTGTACTGAGGTCGGAACATAGCTCCTGGAATGTCCAAAGTCCGTGTGAGATGAGGAGTTCTTAAAGTGCCAGATACTTCCGCCGGTGTAAGGTGGCCCATGGACTTAGTGACTATTGACCTTTGGAGGTAACAAGATTCGACCTCAGAAGAAATATTTGGACAGTTTGTGGCCGGGAATGACATTCGCTTGTCATGTATTCGGTCACGTAGTATGCCCACTTCAAGTTAACAAGACGACACTTGCAAGCAACTTGTGACTAACATAGACCCACACACCACCGTCTGCTATCAAAAGATATCAAAATATTGAAGAATTGCTCACGCGCACATGTAGCTGGTGCTGTTTCAGGGGTCCAACGCGGGTGTAAACTGATGTCAGACAATGGGTTAAAGAACAACGTGTATACAAATACATGTCACATTCGTACAATACACGTTCCTAACTCTCAGTCGCACAAAACACGTGCGTATAGTTGTATAGAGAACCCAGCCGGAGTGTACATCTAGCAGTCGACCATAGAACAGATAAGACACTTGCCAGATCATCACCCCCTTATATTGGCACTGTCGCACACTCCACATACCGCGGTCAAGCCGCTGTAGGATGCCACGAGCACACCAACTAACAACACTATCCCTTGTACCGGACACACACAATCAGATACATACACCTCAAATACCCCATCGGTAAGTCTATAGTGTTTAGTAAACAGGAGGAAACATCTAACAGATACGGAATCACACGCTACTACTTTCGCACCGTTTGCACATACCCCGGCCAAGCCGATGGAGAAGGCCATGAGTGCTGGTGCACGACCACACACATCTCGTACAGTCACGTCGGCCCCTCCGCTTTGTACCAGTAGCATTGCGGTGCTGTTGTGGTCGTGTAGCAGCGCATAGTGAAGCGGAGTAAGGCCGTGTCTGTCCTGAGTATCATTAGAATAGATAGTAGTTCGAGAGAAGACAAGGGATGCGTGTATGTGGCCTGTGTGCTTTTACGTGCATGCATTGGTATGTTCCGTTTTGGTTAGTATACGAGACTGCATCCTGTTACAGACAAAGGTATCGCCCGCCCTTCCTTACCTCGAATAGTGAGCCGTACCAGCCAGACACGTATGTTAGCGGCAACATCTATTTCAGAATGCTTGTTACTATACATAGAAGCCCAGTGCATCTGCATGGCTGCCATTCACTGCCGTACAAGTGTGATTAGAGATACCAACAACACAATATTTGAATATTCCCGATGAATGGCCCAATTACCAGGGACACCGCACCTTCTAGAAAATATACCAGCTGGTTATGTAGGGAGCGATATAGATTCGCACGTTCATGAAGTGCAACTAGCAGCAAATACTAGATAGACGAATATATCAAGCGGCGAATACTAAATACTTTACAAAAACTCTGCACAACAACAACTTCTTTTCGTAGTACAGCTGAAATCTGTCTATATGGCTTAGCTGGAATTGAGGGGAAGGTCATATATGGTCTCTAATTTCCCAATATCCGACTGTAAAATCAGAGGCCAAAATATCAATCAAGTTGACTACAGTTATTTGCAAGTATATGCAAGACCATTCAGACATGAATACTTGTATGTGCATACTTACAAATATATTGTATATACATATCTAGTTTTACATTATATATATATATATATATATATATAATATACATACATACATACATACATACATGCATACATACATATATATATATACATATATAAATATATATATATTAGTAGTATATGAACATATTTATGTCTATATAATAAAATATAAAATTAAAATGGTATATGCATGAATATGCACGTACGCGTTCAGCGGTTCCGTCCCATGAATGGATAATTCTTTGCACGATCTACAGTAGCCAGAACATCTTGCATAAACCGAAAAACTTGTAAACATACTTTCACGTTGACACATACAGAGCCCTGTATGCGCAAGAAATCCGCAATTGCACCGTCATCTCCCTTGCGAGCACATCGGTGTAACAGCGACATGCTAGTGTGATTATACCAGATTTGGTATCTCTAGATTTCAGGCACGTTCACCCATTTGCGTTTACTAAATATATTAAGCTATGTATGTGGGTATAAGCATGGCATCACCTTATAGTACAGTGCATAATATATTTGTTCTCTGGCAATCACACTTAGATTGCTACTCCACTTCGCAATACATTATACGTATGTATGCATTCATATTTGTCAAATATGCATTATATAGACAAGAAGCGTCAGGACTCACGAGGGTGTTGATCAATACTGTATATGGATGTCTCAGTGTCACTGTGCTTTTCCCTGTGTCTGCCGAGAGTCAGTCAGTGTCGGATGTCAACCAAACTTATTACTGTGCATAGTTCATCATAATTGTTTAGCGTAAACGCATAGTTTTGTAAACGTTTTTATTTGAGCGTATCAGTAGGGAGGAAAGAAACAAATCTACTATTTACATGTGTACGATTTGATAATCGGGACTTTATGAGTATAGTTTGGTAGTAATACGCCTTTGAACCCAAATATTACAAACCAATAAAAATTATGTATGTACTGTACATACTTACATTCTAACGCAAAACGGGATAGGGGTGGTAGTGCCAACTGTCAAGTTGTTAAGTTTTCCATTATTCCTTCAAATATTCTGAAATTCATTCCTGTTTCCGATTTCGGAATTTCAAACAGCGCCCGCGCAATCGCGGAGTAAAAAGCTCTGTGACAGCCAGCCAATGAAAACAGATTAAAAGTTCCTTTTCAGCCAATGAAATACATATGATGGAATGGGCGCGTAAGCAATAGATGGCCCTACCAATCTGTTCGCAATTTCTGTTATGTGTGATTATGTGGTACATTTGGGGGTTGAGGTTCTATGTATATATATTTGCAGAGAAATATATTGTACTATTATTGTACGACTATGTGCAGTTAACAGCATAGGGTACTTACGTTGCAAGGATTGCTTTAAGAAATACGGAATAAGTCTGAGGTTTAGAGGTGGTGCAGAGTTATATGATTGGCAATAGACTACAGGCTAGCAACCTAATCACCGTTTGTCGACCCATCCGTCTATTGATCTATTCTTAGAACGGGTGATCAACACAAGTTTTGACCACTATCAAGTGTTTAGAACAGCTCAGAAGCTGCGAGAAAGTACGCGCGGAAGTATGCTAGGTTCTGACAAGATGGGCAAAAAGACCCCGGCACAGGGCAAAGGGGTGGCCAAGAAGGAGTCGACAGGTGTGCCTATGTAGTGTGGCTATATACACACATCTGAAGATTTGTACATGTATCGTCGGGTATATAGCATCGCGTGAGCAATGAGAAATAGTCAGAATTAGGGAATCGTGATATCCATATGTAGTGTGTTTGTGTGTGTTGTCATGAAAGTCTATATAGTGTATGGTTGAAAAAGCGGAAAGAAATGACCGTATTGTTGTTTTCTTAATGGAACAATTGTGGTTCATATGTATGTATGTATTGGTATAAATGGGTGATTTGTGTATCGTCTTGAGTATTTGTAGTGTGCAGATCGAGGATAGCCATAGAAGGTCAAATTATACGGTCGGCTCACCTCGGCAACATCAGCACACAAAGTAACTTGCATAAAGCTAGTGGGCTCATAGTCTACTACCATATAGTGCTTTTGAGTTCACATTCTATCGTGCTTCGTATAGGTTTACACTATGGCGAAGCGCATCAGGATTTGATGTGCTCATGGGTCTATCCAATATCAACATCGATTTTTCACTTCCAAGTTCTTGGTATGGATACACTTTGGCGAAGTGCATACAGATGCCGTACTCTGTTGAGACATAGCGGCGAATAATTGAACTATAGCGCTAGTTAAATCAGCTTGATGCCAGGAGTATTCCTTCTGAATGCTTACTTGCGTACTATCGCTATACCGATCTTTTATGTCCCATATATGGGTGTATATGTATTCGGGGAGTTATCCCTATATAGTTCTCTACGAGAATTTGTGGGCTACATACTCATGACCACACAGGGTATTTGCTTGTTTGTACTGTGATGCGAATACAGTTCACGTGCGGACACAACCCACTGCACTAGTATACTCCTGTATTTTTGCTAACGATCCCAGCTGCAATATTGAACCAGTGAGCAACTCATGTGTAGCTAATCACTTCGACTGCTGTCCACTACAATTAGAAGAGTAGTACACATTATTGTGTAAAGGATTAAACATCATAAGCAGTGATCTGTTCACAATTGAGTACACAGTAAGTGTCTACTACCGTGGCGAGCGTTTGTGGTCTATGGTTTCATGTCCATTTAATAGGTGGGTTGTGCACATATGGTGATCTAACAGGAACAAAGAAGAGACAGAAGAGCATGTTCGACTTCTTCGGAAAGTCTAAGCCGGCAGCCACTCCCGTCCAGCGGGCAGCAAGGTATGTGCAACACCTAGATAGGAAAAGTTAGAATATATACATACACACACACACACACACACACACACACACATATATATATATATATATATACATATATACATATATAC